TGAAGGTCATCTAGGTTGCAAGCATTTTTGAGACCAAGATTGGAAAAAGCACAGCGACAAATAGCCAAACTAATGGAAACACATGAACTATGAACCAATAGCTGAGGACCCCCCAACTGGATCAGGTCCTCTGGATAAGTGACACAGTTGATTAGCTTGAACTGTTTGGGAGGACCCCAGGCAGTGGGACCGGGACCTGTCCTTAGTGCATGAGCTGGCTGTTTGGAACCTGGGGCTTATGCAGGTATACTTTGCTCAGCCTGGGAGGAGGGGACTGGACCTGCGTGGACTGAATCTACCAGGTTGAGCTGAACTCCCAGGGGAGTCTTTGCCCTGGAGGAGATGGGAATGGGAGGTGGGCTGGGGGGGAGGGGGCCTGGAAGGGGGGAGGAGAGGGAAATCCGTGGCTTATATGTATTATAATTAAATTAAATTATAAAATAAAAAAGGAGAAAAAGAAAGAAAGAGGAGCAAGTTAGAGGAAGCAAGCCGATAGGTAAACAGCATTCCTCCATAGCCATACTCCCTTCATTTCTTGCCTGATTCAACTTTTCTGATGATGGACTGTAGCCTGTAACCCAAATATTCTTTCTTTCCCCATGTTGCTTTTGGTCAGTGTTTTATCACAGCAAAAGCAAGCAGACTAAGAGAGTGGGCATGCCTTTTTTTCCTGTGTTTTATATGCTTATCTTACTTAGGAAGAGTTCCTGTGAGAAATGCACTAAGAATATATTGAAGCATCTTCTGTTACTTCCTACTCTCAGAAGCTTGGTTTTGCTTTTAGAAGTGAATTAGTGATGGCTCCTAACTCATATTTCTTTTAAAAAAAAATTAGTTTAAGGAGTTTTATTAAGTTATATTTTGGAAGGATTGCAATAGCATGATAACATTCCAATCATGCTCTTTTTTTTTTATTTTGTATAAATGTTTTTAATTTGTTTTTGGTAACTCGAAAGGGCCATCATAATGAAGGGGAGAGAAATATCTTAGGGGAGGTGAATAGTAGAATACAGGTGATTATGAGCTGGGAAGAATAATGGGGAGGGAGGTTTAGGTGGGGAAAGGGATGTGAGATTAGGGCAGAGGTAGGTTGGGGAAAATAACTAACACTGAAACTATTTGAAAAAGCAAAGTAGAAATCTGCAATTTTATAAGCTGTACATATATGTGTGTATATATGTGTGTGTTTATATATTCATGTAAATATTTATGTAAATATATTGATATTAAGGGTTTAATTGAAGTTAACCTACAATGGGAATAGTTCTCCCAGTAGTCACAGATGCCAAGTAAAATGCCTAGTTCCATGCATGCGAACTCTCCTTTCACATTGTTAGCAATGTTCCAAGGCCCTACAAAAAATGAAGACCATTGCTCTTGGTTTTTCATCAGATCTTGGTGGTAAGGTCTTATTGCTAAAAATATCACACACTTTGGACCAAGACCTGGAGAACTTAAGCTGATATTGGACAGGAAATATCTTCTCTGCTGGCTAGCTGTCATAGTACTGATAGGTGCTATTCAGACTACTTGGAGACACAAGTCATCAGCAGTCTTACTTATTTGTAAACCCTTTAAGCTATAGTAATAACCAGGCTGGCAAGACATGTTCATGTATGTAATAGTGCCACAAATGCTATATGGGTAACAACCATTTTCTGCTTGAATTTAAGGCCTTCTGTAAAGGAGGAAACGCATGGGCAGTACTGCACAGCTGGCCAAGAACCTATGGCTGGGAGCTTAGAGACCCCCGGGGAGAACATCTATGATTCTGCTAAATAGACAGTATTAAACTTCCCTCCAAACTCATATCTCCATACCCATAGACTTATGTAATTCTCAACCACATCAGAGATTTTTCTTTGTGTAGTGGACAGAGTTTAAGGTAGAAACAAACTTATAACTGGTCAAAGTGAGGAGAATAAGTGTGAGTGCATCAGTAGTGTGCTCAGCCACAATTGGAATTTCTGTATCACACCCTCCTTTTCTCAAGGCTCAGGGGTTCAAAGATAATAGAAGCCCGATGTTGAGGGAAATCAGGGTGAAATAGTGCCTCTGAAGATGACAAAGCCACTGCATTTATGGACTCAAAGCAGCTATGCTTGCCTGTGCAAGATCAAGATAGTTAACACGCTAGCACTGAGTGGTGAGTGACTCACAAGCTCCCATCCTTGGCGGAGGAGCTTTTGACAATTGATGACTACTGGGGAGTGGGGAGTCCATTTTCTTTAAATGGACTTGGCCGTTGGTAGGTTGCACATACTTCAGTGCATGGCCCAATACCCATGGACATATGGACAGCACAAGCAGGATTCCGTGGATTATAAAGAAAAAGTAAAAGGACATAAAGTTAGTAGGGAGAGTGGGTGTGAAACGTGGAGGAGTGAGGAGGAGGAGTGGGGAGCGAACATAATCAAGTACATTGTATGCATGCACAAAATTCTCAAATATTTAATAAAATATTATATTTAATAAAGTATGTGAAATAAAAGGATGTAAATGTCAGGGTCTAGGAATAGGAAGTATAAAAATTTTGTTTCTCTAGTTTCAATTACCTAATTGTATGTGGTTTATATAATGGACATAAGGTAATTACAACAGTTTAAATTCCTACAAAGGGACAAAAATGTGATTCATGTTTAAATATCAGACAAAAAGCCATTGACATGACATTATAATGACTCATAGTTTTCTCTTCAGAGAAGAAATAAATCTGTAAATTAAGTGAAAATGTTACTTATTGCTTAACAGAAACAGTAGTCATTATATTTAATTAAAATATCCCCATTGGATGTTTTTTTTTTAACATACATTTACTTGTTCATCTTAACAAGGAATTTGGGGTTCTCGGTTAGGGATGCTGCACATGGTTTCAAGCATGGCGTCTTTAACACAAGGGTCCTTTCTTTGCAGAGTGATGTAAGCCCTTCCAGCAGTACCACATCGCTTCCTATCAGCCCTCTTACGGAAGAGCCACTGCCTTTCAAGGTAAAAGATAACCACACCCCCAAAGACATTCATTTTTAGTATTTTAAAGGTTGCAAACAGTTTACATTATATAGTCCTCCACAGACGTGAGGTGAGCTGGTTCATTCTTCTTACTTGGTTGGTTGCCTTAACTTGTTGTACTTTTTGTTTTTCTAGTTTCAATTACCTAATTGGATGTGGTTTATATAATGGACAGAAGGTAATTACAACAGTCACCCATGAAATAGAGACCCCCTTCAGCCCCTTAAGTGCTGAGATTAGAGTTGTGCATCCCCATGCTAAGATCTCATTCATCTTTACATATAGTACTTGAAGTGTTGTTTTTGTTCCATTATTCAATCTCTGCCTAAAAGGCTGAAGGTTGGAATATTCATGGAGCAGTTGCCGCCTATCATGCCTGCCGCAGAGCTGTATTTTTAACAGCTTTTGGTCAATGTGAAGTAGGAAACATGTGTTTGTAGTCATGTAATAATCTGCAGTGTTTATTTTACTTATGTTGTCTTTAGCAACAGAACTGAATGGTGCAATCTTTACAAAATAAAAGTTAATGCTAGGTATGGTTTCATTCCCCTAAAGACATTCTCCGATTTGAGAGTCTATTATATGCACTACAAATAGGGAAATTTCCTTGTTGCCTACTAGGGTTAGGGTTTTAGCCATAGCATGAAAATGAACTGTTTGTACCAAGAATGTTTGTATATCATTAGTATTATTATAAAGAAGGGCAATCTACAGTAGTTTGGATGAAAAAGTTAAAACGTTGGGATAATACACTTGAATTCAAAGGTTTTTGCAGTTTGCTTTAAAAGTAGAATAATGCAGCTGGGCAGTGGTGGTGCACGCCTTTAATCCCAGCACTCGGGAGGCAGAGCCAGGCGGATCTCTGTGAGTTCAAGGCCAGCCTGGGCTACCAAGTGAGCTCCAGGAAAGGCACAAAGCTACGCATAGAAACCCTGTCTCGAAAAACCAAAAAAAAAAAAAAAAAAAGTAGACTAATGCATGTTTGAGTGTCTATTAGAATGTTCATTGTGGTTGTATATAAAATTATTATTTCATACAAGGGTTGTATGTTATTAAGCCTCATGTTACATATAGGCTGTACAGTGATATCTAGGGCTTCCCTACATTCAGCGTTATTGTATCACTGGGATAAGCCTTCCATAATGCTGTCCACTGATAACCTTTACTTTCTATAAAACATCAGTTGCCTCATGATTAGTTACTGTGGTGGTTTGAAAGAAAATGCCCCACATAGGGAGTGGCACTATTAGAAGTTGTGGCTTGTTGGAATTGATATGGCCTTTTAGGAGGAAGTGTGTCACTCTGGGGGTGGGCTTTGACATCTCCTATGCTCAAGCTATTTCCAGTTGGTACAGAATTCAAATCCTGTTGCCTGCTGATCAAGATGTAGAACTTCCAAGATGTAGTGCTCCTTCTCCAACACCGTGTCTTCCTGCCTAGCATCTGCCATGATGATAATGGACTAAACCTCTGAACTGTAAGCTAGCCCCAGTTAAATGTTTTCTTTTATAAGAGTTGTATGGTCATGGTATCTCTTCACAACAATAAAACCCTAAGACAGTGACAGACTTAGTAAAATTATGAAACTCTCATTTCTGCATCAAAGAATTTGTAAATATTGAGTGGCATCTTGGGGTATAAATGATTTGTCAAACTGACACCACAACCTTTGCTTCCAAGTTTAGTATTGTGTGGTATTTTATTCATAGTATGTGGGGTAGAATTCACAGGAGAACCTTTGCTTTGCAAAGACTTTAACTGAATTTTCACTGCATCACCAGAAACCATTTTCTCTTAATATATAGATAAATTACAATGCTAAAAATTAATGTGATTTTTAACAAAGGTTAAAATGAGCTTTTTTATTCTAGAATCTGCTGATATGAAACTAATGCAAGTACAATTACTTCTGTTGGATTATTTGACTGGTTCTAAGAGATCAATACTGTTTTTGAGCTAATATGTGTAAGTGCTTCTTGAAAGCAATTAAGACATTTGAGAGCCTGGAATATGCAGCATTGGCTTCGAGTGCCCAATATCACATGAAAAAACATGATTTATAGTCTTCAAAAACTTCTCACATTTATAAAACCATCCCATTAGTACTTAAAATTATCTAAAATTTAATCTTTTTAATAAACAGTAACACTCCAACATTATTTTATCTTTGAAATTTGACATTGCATTAGTGAATAACATATCAATTGTTTATTTTTATATAACAAAATAAAAGAAAATATTTGGGGCAGTACTTTGGTATAAAGTTTGTAATTTCACACATTTTTTTATCAAGATATAGAGGGCATTTAGGTACTCTCAATATCATTACATGAAGGTAATCTTGATATTATAACTCCTGTGTGTTTATAACTTTATTCAAATTATGATATTGGACTAAGAAGAAAGCATATTCACTAAAGTGATTCCCCCTGGATTCAATCTCAGAACCAATTTTAAGAAAATCTAGAGATCCATGGAGTGGTGCTATAGATTTCTGGAGAGGTATATTCCAGTTCTGGAGAGGCAAAGACAGGACTATTCCTGAGGGTTGGTAGCTAATCAAACTAGCCTATGTGTATAACTACAGACTAATGAGAAACCCTGTCTCAAAGTAAAAAGGTAGACAGTGCCTGAGGAATGACACCCAAGGATGTCTTCTGGGCTCCACATGTAAATGCACACACATGTAGCTGCATATACATTGTACCAGCATACACACACACACACACACACACACACACACACACACACA